GCTGTATTGCAAGGAAATCCCGCACAACTTACTATCCGTAAAGAAGATGCTAGATGCTGGAATGTCCGTCGAATTTAATCCGGATGGTATTAAAGTAATCAAAAATGGTAACTTGGCATTTGAAGGAACATTTGAGTATAATGTACCGATTGTGAAATTTTATTTAAATAGTAAAATATATTTATCCAAAAGTTTAAATGATGCAGAATATCGCTTGTGGAATGAAAGGTTAGGCCATATTAGTGTAGGAAAATTCTTAGAAATTAAACGAAATAGCTTGATTGAAGATGTTGAACTTATAAAAAACGTACAGCTGAATAAAAATGAAATATGTGAGGCGTGTATTAACGGAAAGCAATCTAGGCTTAAATTTGAAAAATCTAAAAATAAAGAAAATATTGACCGCCCATTGTTTGTAGTTCATTCTGACGTATGTGGTCCGATTACTCCCTCAACTATTGATAATAAAAACTATTATGTAGGGGAGAAGTGGGGGTTGTGGGCATGGGTCGGTTGTGGGCACCCCTACGTATATTTTCACAAAATTAAGATTGAATTTTTTTGGTAATGTCATTCGCAAGCAATTACCCTATGTATGATATATGCCAAATTTCAAAGTAAACGAACGCGTTTGCTTTTTGAAATTAACGAATTGGTTTTTCTTGTGCTTGGAAAAGGTGGTGAAACTTTATTCAAAGATTTTCAATAGTGTATCAATTAAAGTGAATCGATTAAAAAGGTAAGTGTAATGCATTTTTATTTAGTCAAAGCATTATACTAAATGGAACAATATCGATTTGAACCAAAAAATTTATGCAAACACATTTTTTAATTACTTCTTAAAATGCCTGCGAAAGTTGGTTGTGGGCACCAAAATTGGGTGGGTTGTGGGCACCCCTTTTTTTATTACCTACAATTTCTTGTAAAATTGTTTTCAAAATTTGTTTGGAACCCTCTAGAACATTATTGTAGAAATCTTAGGCTCTTGGAAAGGGATCCTCTCCCGCTGAGAGGGATTATCACTAAGATTTTAACACTTTATTTTTCATCCGAAATGTGTGGACTTGCGGGGCAGTCATTATACATGTCAAAATTGTGTTTCCGACGATGAATAACACCTATGTAGTCTTTGAAATAAATAAATTGTCATTTTGTTGATATTGGTTGCGGTTTTTTTTTCCATATTATTCCATTTGCAGCATTTTTTCCCAGGGTGCCCACAACCCCCCCAAAAAAAAATTTTAGCTGAAAATTACGATTTTACAAAAGTCCATATGAAATTTTTTCGCATGACAAAATCAAGTATGTTTCTTCATAATTAGTTAGCTTAGGTCTCTAGCTTTACATAGATACCCATATGTCCAAATAATATGCACTAGTTCGGTAATTATAAGCCAAAAACAAAACTATGCCCACAACCCCCACATCTCCCCTAGTATTTATTGATCAGTTCACACATTACTGTGTGACATATTTAATAACTTATAAATCAGACGTGTTTTTTGTATTCAAAGACTTTGCAGCAAAAAGTGAAGCTCATTTTAATTTAAAAATAGTAAATCTTTATATTGATAATGGCAGGGAATATCTCTCTAATGAAATGCATGAATTTTGTGTAGAAAAAGGTATCAGTTATCACTTAACGGTTCCTCACACCCCACAATTGAATGGTGTTGCAGAGCGGATGATTAGAACAATCACCGAAAAAGCTCGTTCTTTGATTAATGGTACTAAACTTAATAAAAGTTTTTGGGGTGAAGCTGTTTTAACAGCAACTTATTTAGTTAATAGGACCCCAAGTAGAGCTTTGGAAAATATAAGAAAAACACCATATGAGATGTGGCATAAAAAGAAGCCAATATTAAAATATTTGAAAATATTTGGACGCACTAAATAAAGTGCGTAAGCGAAAATTTGACGAGAAATCTATCAAGACTATACTCGTCGGGTATGAAAAAGAAAAGCATAAAATCTATAACTTTAAATGAAAATGACTCTGTGGTAAAACATAATGATGTTAGCAGAAGTCATGATTCTCCAATTGAAGAGAATGAAGAGTTAGATTTCCCACTACAGGAAATGAATGAATCAATGGATTCAAAGTCTGATGAAAATTCCACTTGTCTCGAGAATACCGATCCAGTAGTTGAAACTGGTGATAATATACAAGAAAATGAAAATCAACAAGTCAGACGCAGTGAGAGAAATAAAGATAAACCAAAATTATCATACAGATTTTTAGAAAAATGTCTTATGAATACCCAATTATGTTTAAATGATAATCCCAATACATATGAGGAAATTAAATTTCGTAATGACAGAACTTTGTGGGAGAAAGCCATTCGAGATGAACTAAATTCTCATTTTGTAAATAATACATGGTGCTTAGTGCAAAGGCCTATAGATAAAAACATAGTAGATTGCAAGTGGGTTTTTAGTTTAAAGCAAGACGAAAACGGAAATTTACTAAAATATAAGGCAAGACTGGTAGCAAGGGGCTTCACCCAAGAATATATGATGGATTATGATGAGACCTTTGCACCTGTTGCACGAATTACTAGTTTTAGATTTCTTTTAGCATTTTCTAATCAATCAAATTTACTGATCCATCATATGGATGTAAAAACAGCATTTTTCAATGGAAATTTAAAGGAAGAAATTTATATGAAGATTCCAAAAGGTTTAAACCAGTATGATGGGAATAAAGTGTGTAAACTAAATAAAGCTATTTATGGCCTGAAGCAAGCTGCACGATGCTGGTTTGAGACTTTTGAAAGTGCATTAAAAAAATTTGGATTTCAGAATCTAGAAGTAGACCGATGTATATATATTTGAAATAAGGGAGATATAAGTAAAAATATATATTTACTATTATATGTTGACGATGTGGTAATTGCCACCAGTAATTCCGAGAAAGTATGTCTAAATTTAAAACTTATCTTTCAAGTACGTTTCAAATGACTGACTTATGTGAAATACGACATTTCCTTGGTATAAAAATTGATCGAAAAGATGATCAAATTTGTCTCAGTCAATCTGCATATATTAAAAATGTTTTAAAGAAATTCAATATGGAAAACTGTAATCCAGTTAGTACCCCACTTCCAAGCAGACTAAATTAAGAGGACTTGCAAGCTGAAGAATCATGTGAAGCACCATGTAGGAATTTAATTGGCTGTTTAATGTACATAATGTTGTGTACACGACCAGACTTGAGTACATCAATAAGTATCTTAAGCCGGTATACTAATAATAATAACAAAGAATTATGGCAATGTCTTAAACGAGTTTTACGATACCTAAAAGGAACTGTTGACTTACAGTTATCGTTCAAAAGGTATTTTAATGTGGATAATATTCTTATAGGATATGTCGATTCTGACTGGGCTGGAAATGAGACTGATAGGAGAAGTACTACAGGATTTATATTTAAAATGTTTGGAAACTGTTCAATTTCCTGGAGTACTATGAAACAAAAATCAGTTGCTGCTTCATCTACCGAAGCCGAATATATGGCCTTATTTGAAGGTGTTAGAGAAGCATTATGGCTAAAGTCATTAATAAATGAAATTAAATTAAAATTAAATGGCCCAATAGATATTTTTGAAGACAACCAAGGTTGTATAAGTATAGCCAATAATCCTACTTGCCACAAGAGAACTAAGCATATAGATATTAAATATCATTTTACCAGGGAACAAATAGAAAACAAACTAATCTGCGTTAAGTATATTTTTTTCGGATCAGTGAAAAAACCCGGCTTGCTGAAGACATCTATATTAGTTTAGAAGTTATTCATTAAATGCTGCTAGCGAAACCAAATCGCCCACTGTGTGCTGTGCCGATTATTACTTATTTTTTGTAATGCCGTTTTTACCGTGGACCGCACTTGTAAACATTTACCAAACTGTTTTGCTTGTACTGAGACTGACCTAACGAACAGATAAACCCCCATTTTACGATTAATTCCAGGTCTTGTGCTGATTGACCTAATGGTCGAACCTCTTAGGTTAAAAATGGTAAAAAGTGCATGTTACTAGTGCGTATATATGTTATTTATTAGTAGTGAAGTAGATTCAAAAACACACATTTTAAGACTGTTCGGAGCAGAACCCCTAACTTGTAAATTCTACCCTAAATTCAAATGTATAACTGCTAATGTAAAGTAACGTAACGTAAACGTAAAGTTGTTTACCAACACCCGCATAATGTAATCGCGCCTAACTTAGCTTATCTTGTTTTTATCTATCTTCTTTATCATCTCATTCGTCTTCGCAACTCCTAACCGATTCACATTTCGTTCGTTCTCGCTACATCCTCGCAAGCAAATTGTCGGTCGCGATCTTGTACGCAAATACATAAACTTTGTACATAAACTTAAACCAAATATTACTCAGAAACACAAATATAAAACCACATCTCATTTAAATCACAAAACATTGGCCCTTTTTTTGAAGTGCATAAAGCGGTAGCAACAAATTAGTTGCATTCCTCTGAACATTTGGTGACCCCGACGTGATCTACGTGTGGTGTGTTTTTTATTTCGTTTTTCGGTTTTCACAAATCGGTGAAAAGGCCTATCAGTGCATTTGGACACCACTTCGCAATTCGGTGAAGAGGCCTACAAACATACATACATATATTCCTGTGCTTGGGTATTATTTGGCGCGCTTTCTTTTGTGATCTTGTTCGCATACATAACCACAGTTTGATCTTGGTTATATAAAGTGCAGTGCATATATAAGCCGTGTTAAGCGAGGTCAGTGAACGCTTACGAATTTGTTCCGTTGCATTTTCATCGACATTTCGTCTCTTGCATTCAAATTCGTGCAGTTGCATCGGCAGCTTAAAGTGATAGTGACTTTCGTATACTCTTTTTGAAAATGATGGCTGAAAGTAATTCGGTTGGTGCAAGATCCGCGGCGGTACCAAGTGACTTGGACTTTCATAAAGCAAAGGCTGATGCTACCTTAAGACAGGTAGAAGCTTTAAAAAGCTACATGGAGTCAGATGAGGCGGTCAACTTCGACGAGACTGATCTTCAGGTGCGACTTGATTTTGTCGATCAAATGCAAGTGGACTTTGATAAAAGTCAAACCGCGGTCGAAAGGTTAGACTTGCAGGAGTTGTGCAGTGACGCTCGGTCAAAGTTCGCAAACACCTACCTCGTGGTAAAATCGCAAATTTCGCGTGAGCTTGGCAAGCAGCGTAGATTTTCAGCCGTGAATTCTACAGCCCTTCCACATGTCGGTGGTGATTCGAGACCCGCTGCGCGTGCCACAAGGCTCCCAGAGTTCAAGTTGCCAAGGTTCAGCGGTGCCTATATCGATTGGCCTGATTTCTACGCGATGTACAACACCATTGTGGGCAATAATGATGACCTGAGCAACGTGGAAAAGTTCCAGCATCTTCGGTCCTGCTTGGATGGCACAGCGTTGGACACAATTCGTTCACTGGAGCCCACGGAAGCTAACTATGAGAAGGCTATTGAATTACTAGTTTCGAGATTCGATAATAAGCTTTTGCATTTTCAGGCACACATACGGTCAATCTGCGGGATTTCAGGTGTGGAGCAAGGATCGGCAGCAAGCTTACGACGCTTAAGCGACCAGATGAATTCGCATCTGCGTGCGCTGAACACCATGGCAACGACACAGGAGATCATGGACGGTCTTCTGATCTATCTGGTAGCTTCGAAGTTGGATCGCCACACTCGAGAGAAATGGGAAGAGGCTCTGCAGGCAAACAAGCTGCTGAAGTGGAAGGATATGGCTACATTCCTGGAAAAGAGGTGCCGCATGTTGGAGAATCTTGAAAATGCTATGGTAATCCAGACACCTAGCAAACAGGTGGGAAAACCAAACACTAACAAAAATATTCACAACGCACTCGTAGCATCATCATTAACCTCCTCTTCATGTAGCTTGTGTGAAAGTAGAGATCATTTCATTTCTAAATGCGCTCAGTTTTTGAACCTCAGTCCCACCTTGCGGTATAAGGAGGCTAAAAGGCTGCACTTGTGCCTAAATTGTCTGCGCAAAGGCCATGGTATGCAACAGTGCAAGTCTGGTTCTTGCAAACGCTGCCATTCGAAGCACAATTCGTTGCTTCACATCGATTCCAACGCCATCGCCGCACCCTCTCCTCCAACTACCACTACTAACAGTCAAAATGTCGTTTCGCTCTTATCGTCATCATTCTCTGAAGCTCCACCTGTTGTCTCGTCAGATAGTAAGACCGATTATGTGCTGCTTGCAACTGCCATCGTATACATCAGAAATCGATCTGGTGCATTTGTTCCCTGCAGAGCCTTGTTAGATTCTTGCGCTCAAATCAACATCGTCACTTCTCGTTTCGTTAAGCAGTTGCAACTCACTACTCGTCAAGCTAACACATCTATATCTGGAGTTGGTGAATCATCATTTTCATCAAACGCAACCGTCGATCTCGAAGCACACTCCAGGGATAGAAAATATCGTACAGCACTGACAGCAGTAATTAGTGGCAAAATTAAGGACTATCAGCCTCATTTCGATTTAAACGCCCTAGGGTGGAACATACCACCGAATCTTGTTCTTGCTGATCCATGGTTCTACAATAGTCAGCGCATCGATTTGTTAATAGGGGCTGGCATTTTTTACGAATTGCTTTGCGTCGGGCAAATGCGATTAGCCGAAAATCTGCCCATTTTGCAAAAAACGCGTCTTGGCTGGATCGCATCTGGAGGGATTTCGTTCTCAAACTTGAAGCATTCAGCACTTGCAGTGACCACTGAGCCCGTCATCCAATCGGAAACCGATTCCTTGCCAGGCATTGTCAAGCGGTTTTGGGAAATCGACAGCTACTGTGGATCTCCAATTGTCGCAACTGATGAAGATGTATTGTGCGAGCAGCTATTCCAGAACACCTTTTCTCGACTCAGTTCAGGGCAATACTCGGTTCGTTTGCCTGCCAAAGCCAGTTTCGACATGCTCGGAGATTCATACGGTCGTGCCTTACGTCGATTTAAGACGCTAGAGGGCAAATTGCTCAAGGATGTGGAATTGAAGTCGCAATACGCTGCATTCATCAATGAATACATCGATCTACAGCATATGTCGCTTGCTTCTGAGCAATCAGTAGCCTCGCAATATTACTTGCCTCATCATTGCGTGCAGAAGCCAGATAGTACAACCACAAAGCTGCGCGTTGTATTCGATGGCTCAGCTAAAACGACCTCGGGATACTCGTTAAATGATTTGTTGTTTGCAGGTCCCTCAATGCAGCCCAAGATCTTTAACACACTGCTTCGTTTTCGCTTTTTCAAAGTTGCATTATGCGGGGACATCTGCAAAATGTATCGATGTGTCCGTGTCACTAGCCCTGATAACTATTTGCAGTCTATCTTATGGCGTGACAACCCAAATCAACAAGTCAAGGCTTATACGCTCGATACGGTGACCTACGGCACTAAGCCGGCTGCATTTCTGGCAATTCGTGCTATGCAGCAGCTATCCTACGATGAGGAAGCTGAGTTCCTGTTGGCAGCCAAAATAATTCGCAGAGATTTTTATGTGGACGATCTCATTTCTGGAGGTGGCTCGATCGAGGAGGCAGCTCAAATTCGTGAGCAGGTGAAGGAATTGCTATCCAAGGGTCATTTTCCAATTCGAAAATGGTGTTCAAACGAGGCAGCAGCTTTAGAAGGCGAGCCAGAAATTGATCGCGAGAAAACGCTAAGGTTTCATGATGGAACTGATGTCCTCAAAGCGCTCGGCTTATATTGGGATGCAAAATCGGATCACTTGCTTTTCTCATTGTCTGGAACTATGACAGAAAGCGGTGCAACGAAAAGATCGATTTTATCGGCCGTTGCCAAGTTCTACGACCCTCTCGGATTGATAGCACCGATTGTTACGAAATTGAAAATATTTCTGCAAATTCTCTGGAAAGACAAACTGGATTGGGACGAGTCGCTTCCGCAATCTTTGCACTCCTCATGGCTGGAGCACATGAAGCAGATGTCAGCGGTCAATCATTTAAAATTTCCTCGTTTCGTCATGCAGCCCAACTCGTCGTTGGAGATACACGCCTTTTGTGACGCAAGCTTAGCAGCGTATGGCGCCTGCGTTTACGTCAGATCTGAAGTGCATGGCTGTGTCTCAACTCATTTGCTCTGTTCCAAATCTAGAGTTTCGCCCCTAAAAACCCTCACCATACCCAAATTGGAATTATGCGCAGCGCTATTGTTATCAGAGCTCATCTCAAACATTGCACTAACCATTTCATCGGATTGTAATTTTTATTGTTGGTCTGATTCAACCATAACGCTTTCTTGGATTCGTAAACCTCCATCAGATTTTAATATCTTTGTATCCAACAGGATTGCGCAGATTCAGGATCTCACCAAAGGCATGACATGGCGTCATGTACCCACACACTGGAACCCTGCCGATATATTATCGCGTGGATGTTCACCTCTCGAGCTCTTGGAGTCGAACCTATGGCGAGAGGGACCTCCATTTTTACGTTCGGATTCATCGTGCTGGCCAAATATAGCGCCTATTGTGGACGACTTGCCTGAACGTCGACGCATGGTTTTAGTCGTAGCCGAGAAACAGGATATCTCCTTCGATTGCAAATTTCAAAACTCATTTGGAAAGCTGCAGCGAGGTTTTGGATATATATACCGGTTCTGGCTTCTCAAGTTTCAAAATCAAACGCGTCGCAAAGGACCACTCACAGTCGATGACGTCAAAGGTGGCACACATCTACTCATCAAAGGAATCCAGCGTGTTTCCTTCGCAGAGGACTACAAAGCATTGCGAAAGAACAAGCAGGTTGCATCAAATAGCAAGCTCTCGTCGTTGCATCCTATTCTGGATGACTCAGGACTAATTCGTGTTGGCGGTCGCTTGCAAAACTCGCTTCTGGACTACGATGCGAGACATCCCATTTTGCTGCCAAAGGATCATCCTGTCACTCAAGCAATCGTCGCTCATTTCCATCACAAGTTTTTGCACGCAGGACCGCAAAGTTTACTAGCTGCCTTGCGCCAGAGGTTTTGGCCAATTGGAGGCAGAAAAACAGTCGCAGCTATCGTAAACAAATGTATCAGGTGTTTCAGACTGAAGCCGAGAATGATGGAGCACATCATGGCACCCTTGCCGGCCAGCCGAGTGCAACCAAGTCGTCCTTTTACAACGACTGGAATCGACTTTTGTGGCCCATTCTTCTCGAAATCGGAAGTCAGGAATCGACCGCCTGCGAAGTGTTACGTGGCAGTTTTTATTTGCTTCGCAACTAAAGCCTCTCACTTGGAGTTAGTAGAGGATTTATCAACCGCATCGTTCCTCGCCGCTCTCAAGCGTTTCACCAGCATCAGAGGCAAGCCCAACACGATCTGGTCGGACAACGCAACAAACTTCGTTGGTGCGAAAAACGAGTTGCAGGAGCTCAGGGAAATCTTCCTGGCTGATCCTCCAAATATCGAGCTTCGCAATGACCTGTTGTCTAATGGCATTAACTGGCAGTTCATACCCCCCGCTCGCCTCATTTTGGTGGCTTGTGGGAGGCCGCCGTAAAAGCAGCCAAATACCACTTTCATAGAGTGGTTGGAAGATCGAATTTAACTTTTCATGAACTTCGTACTCTCGTTTGTGAAGTTTCTGCCATGCTTAATTCTCGACCACTCTGCCCCATTTCAGAAAATCCTAGCGACTTGGAGGTGCTCACGCCTGGACACTTTCTTATTGGCACTGCTTTCAACGCCATAGACGAACCCGACATCACCCATCTCAACATCAATCGGCTAATTCGCTGGCAGCGAGTTTGCCAGATGCAGCAGGTGATTTGGCGCAAGTGGAGCACTGCCTACCTATCGCTACTCCAGGAACGTGGGAAATGGCGGTCAGAAAAGGCAAATTTGTCGCCCGGCAGCATAGTCATCATAAAGGACGACAATCTTCCTTCGCTCCAATGGCGCATGGGCAGAGTCGAGAGCATCGTTCTTGGACCAGATGGCGTGGCCCGTGTTGCAGTTATTCGAACAGCTGCAGGCATCATCCGAAGAGCTGTTGGCAAGTTGGCCGTTCTGCCCTTTGAGACCACCTCGTCTGTCAGCGTGACTCTTCCAGCGGGGGGAGCATGTTCGGAGCAGAACCCCTAACTTGTAAATTCTACCCTAAATTCAAATGTATAACTGCTAATGTAAAGTAACGTAACGTAAACGTAAAGTTGTTTACCAACACCCGCATAATGTAATCGCGCCTAACTTAGCTTATCTTGTTTTTATCTATCTTCTTTATCATCTCATTCGTCTTCGCAACTCCTAACCGATTCACATTTCGTTCGTTCTCGCTACATCCTCGCAAGCAAATTGTCGGTCGCGATCTTGTACGCAAATACATAAACTTTGTACATAAACTTAAACCAAATATTACTCAGAAACACAAATATAAAACCACATCTCATTTAAATCACAAAACATTGGCCCTTTTTTTGAAGTGCATAAAGCGGTAGCAACAAATTAGTTGCATTCCTCTGAACAAAGACATTTAACGATCAAATTTTTCCGGTTATTAAGTTTTTTACCTTATCCGTGGATTCTTCCTCTATTCTTCGTATGTGAGACGTCGATAATACATATATCGATGCTAATACTGCTGGCCTTTGGGAAACCGCTGGTGCTCCAAGATCTTTTTGGTTTTATGCCGGACTTGAATGCTTATTGTGCTACTCTTACCGCTAAAAGATCTGCTAATGGCCCAAGGCTTATGCAGTTGGATATTGGTTCAGTAAACAGATGTTAGGTATTCTTAACTTAAAGGTCAGTTAAGTTGTTAACTTTTTTAAAATGGCAAAAGCAAAAAATGTAGATGGAAAAATGTTTCTGCTCTATATTGATTAAATTGGTCTTTACCATTTTGCAACGAAATCTCACGATAAAATAAATACTAATTTAGGTAAAACTAAAAAATAGTATAAAATTGCTATAATCCTACGGTGGGAAATAAGAAAATATTGACTGCAAGATTTGATGCAGTGGAAACATACCTTCATAGTTGTCACATTTGATAAATATCGATAAGTCTTTTTACCGCGCAGTTGTAAAACGTTTTCAACAATTAAACAGAATTAGTAAATTCAATTTAAAATGGAAAGCGAACTACCATTTATGGCGGAATACGCTAGAACTGGACGAGCGTCTTGTAAGGGATGTAAATGTTCTATTCCCAAAGATAACCTTCGCATAGCTGTAATGGTTCAAGTAAGTAATGCTGTACGATTGTTAACGTTTTGATTTGTTCATATAGTAATTATAATATATCCCATATATGTATATTGTGTGCGTTTATTGACTACTTTAGTAAGTTTTAACAGTAACAAGAAAAAGAAAGCAGACCTCCGCGAGTCGAAGCTAAGATACCCTTGCATACAGGGGCGCACAGAGGTAGTCTGGGGCCCGGGGCAATAATTCAATTTTGGGCAGAGCTCGCAAATAACAGTTGACCGTTTTTCATCTAGTGCTCTGGGTGCGAGTACAACCGAAAAAGTTCATACTGTCTCGCTCTCGCTCTGAGCAAGAGCCCCTTGCTGTCATCATTTGTGTTTTCTGTTGAGTACTTTTCGTTGAGCTCTTTGCATTTCGGTCTTTCAATGAGCAGTGCGTAAGGAGCAGATCGAGAAACGCTCGCACAATGAGAGTCACCAAAAGACCGATTGACCAAAAAACTCAATGCAAACGGTCTTGGCATTTACACACACACGTTCAATTCACGAAGACGATTAATATATTTCGTCCGCAAAACCGATGTTTTACGATTTGCTTGCCTATACGTGCACTGTATACCAATACATATGCAAAAGACTTTTATTTTCGTCGCTCGTTGCAAAGTGGTCAGCGAATGAGTAGAGCAAAAAGGAAGCACGAAATTGGTTTTCGGTTGAGCACAGACCGTTCGTTCAAGAGACACTCGTGAACGGTTCGTGTCTGACTTTTTCCACAAGTGATGCGCAAAGAACTGTTATTTGGTGACTGCAAGAAACGGTCAACTGTTATTTGCGAGCTCTGATTTTGGGAGATTGTCAATCCTTACATATCATCATATATATCATATCGCGCGGGGCCCCCATAAGCCCGGGGCCCGGCGCAAATTGCCCCCTTTTTAATTATTATAATATTAAATCGTAGATATTATTAAGATTCGTTGGAAAACGCTATTTCTATAAAACAAAAAAAAAAAACAAGAAAGGAAGCTAGCTTCGGCAAGCTGAAACTTATATACCTATGCAGTCATCAAATATGTCGATCAAAATTCATTAAGGGGCACAACTAGTGTGAAGTTTTAAAAAAATCAAAAAATTTTTTTTTTCATATTTCGGTAGATTACACCTTTAAAAATGACATATTAAAATTTTAAATCGATATCTCAAATAGTTTTTGAGTTATAAATATTTAAAGAGCAGCCGCTCTCATAACAGTGCAAGCGATCATTTTATCTTTAAACGCGTTTTTCTCGAAACAGCATTTTCCAAATTTGCTGCAGTGATAACTCAAAAACTAGTGATCCGATCACTACCAAATTTTTTTTACATGTTCTTTATATAGTTCTACGTACCATGAACTATCGGTTTTTTGATCCGATCAAAAATCGAATTTTGGCAGGCCAAAAACGACCAAAATTTGGGCTAAAATTCGATTTTTTTTTTTTAAAACGCTGCCATTTTGTCATTTTTTGATATTTTTTATTTATCGTAGTTCATGGTATGGAAAATATTATCTAGTTGAACGAGAATTTTTCTTTTTTTGATTTCGTCCACGGAGAGGGCCGGAATCACTGCAGCAGTTAAGGCACTTTTTTTTTTAGCGCCGTTGGAGATCGACTATAACTTAAAAAATATTTAACTTTTTTCTTTAAAAATTTCACTATACATTCTTAAAACATGTATAAATATATTCTGAAAATTTGAAAAGAATTGATCAAGTAGTTTTTTTTATAAAAATTCCCAAAAATCACCATTTTTTAGGCCGTCACACTAGTTGTGCCCCTTAAGGCTAAACAACATCGAAGCTAAGACGATTTTTCTATTCATTTTCCATATTTTCGACTATAGATCATATGGGAGCTATATGATATAGTTGTCCGATTTTAATCAAATTTAATTCGTAATTCAAGAGTCGTAAGAAAACTCTATATTCCAAAATCTTACTTGTCTGATGAAAAACAACGATGTTATAATTTTATTTCAGTTATTTCTATATAGATTTTTCGATCTTTCCTATGGCAGCTATAAGATATAGTTGTCCGATTTTTATGAAACTTTTTGCTCAATATAAGAGTTGGGAAAAAACTTAATATTCTAAAAATCATGCTCGTGGGATAAAAAACAATGACGTTATCAATTTATTTCCATTAATTCTATATATATTTTTCGAACTATCCTATGGCAACTATATGATAGAGTTATCCGATTTTGATCAAATTAAATCCGAAATTCGGGGAGATTTTAGTTTCCGAGGCGCCAAGATTTGAGGACATATTTTGGGTAATTGGCCCAAAATAAACATTTTTTAATATATAAAATTTTTCGATTTCTCGCACCGTTTACGAGATATCGAGCCCTAAATTTCGGATTATAGTGAGGGCTGGTAGCAGTCGATATTACTTATTGCACATATTTTTCGTGGAACTTTCAAGATTTGCGGTACTTTCGTTCGAAGACGAACACTTAAATGTTCAGTTTTTAGTTTAGTTTTTTTTATAACAATTATCGTGCGCGCGCACTTATGCATTGATACATATGCTATATTATTTTTTTGAGATAATTATTATTAAAATAAAATTTTGCCCAATTTTCAGTTTTTAGCTTATTTTTTTTATAACAATTACCTCAAAAAATAATAAAATAATAAAAGTGCGCGCGCACTTATGCATTGATACATATGCTATATTTATTTTTGAGATAATTTCTTAAAAAAAATTTTTTTCACAGTGTAACGGCCGCACTATAAGCCGATATTTAAGGCTCAATATCTCGGAAACGGTGCGAGATATCAAAAAAATGAATGAAATTAAAAATTCTTACTCCGTTGTTTTTGATCAGATCGACTTGATTCCTTCCAGATGGCGTTTTCTAACTGCTGTTGAATTTCGGATTAAATTTTATCAAAATCGGATAACTCCATCATATAGCTGCCATAGGAGAGATCAAAAAATATATATAAATAAAAAATGGAAAAAAAAATTATAATGTTGTTTTTAATGCCACGAGCATGATTTTTGGAACATCAAGTTTTTCAAACACTCTTAAATCGAGAAAAAAAATTTCATAAAAATCGGAGTACTATGTCATATCGACGCATTTCCGCGACTGTATCGTATGTCGCTTTTTTTCGAAATTGAGATTTTAATGCAAAATTGTTAGGCACCTAATGTCCCACTACCCTGTGAAATATTATAACTGAAAGCCCTATAGTTCCGATAAAAATTAAGTTTACATTTTATCGTATGTTACAATGCTTTTCAATGTGCGCGCGAAATTATCGTATGTCCATATAAATTTGCATGGAAATACTGCAATCGCACAAAAATACCGCAATACAAAAATAAAGAAAAAGCTTCTCCTGTAAAATTTGATTTTTCTGCATACGATACAGTCGCGGAAATGCGTCGATATAGCTGCCATAGGAAAGATCGAAAAATCTATATAGAAATAACGGAAACAAAATTATTACCTCGTTGTTTTTCATTAGACAATCATGATTTAGAGTTTTCCAATGAGTCTTGAGTTACAAATTAAATTTGATCAAAATCGGACAACTATATCATATTGATGTCATATGAAAAATATGGAAATCGTCATAGATTCGATGCTGTTTAGCCTTTTTGTATTTTCTTAGACATATTTAATGACTGCAAGGGTATATAAGCTTTGGCTTGCCGAAGCTAGCTTCCTTTCTTGTTTTTAATATACAGTGAAGTTATTTATTGGTAAGGTTCTTACGAGTTAGATCCCCAATCTTAAACTGATTTTACAAAATGCATTATTCTTTAACTATGGCTTCTACCGGTGACAGCGACGCGGGCAGCGAAAGTGGACTTTGATTAGAGAATTTTTATTGGTCAAAAATGTGGACTGATGAAATAGTTTCTAGGCTGCATCTTCTGTTTAATTAATTTGGATTGGCCAAAGCTTTTATGCTGACGAATGGGTTCTCAGGCTGGACCCTTTGTTTAGGGTTCTGAATATTGTTTATGTCTGCTGTCGTCGATAAAGGCGTTTGAAGTGTTTATAATTCAGGTGGCGCCGATCGAAGGCGTGGGAAATATTTATGTCTGACGAATTAAATGTTTATGTCGGGATTGATTTGAATAACTGCAAAAATAGGCTCCGAACTTATGTTATTGACAATTGGAATAATGGATATATCTGGGTATACAGGTTGTATGTTGGGTTTGGTAGCTAGGGTATTTGCGTATACGTCTATTGTAGGCTGTGTATGTTATTAGTAACTGGATTTCCGTATACGTCACTCGCCCTTCCTTTCGAAGATTCAACATCCTTGTTGAATTTAAACAAAATTTCTTTTTTGTGGGCCAGGTGCCTATAGGTAAATACGATGTAAATTATGATACTTAAAATGATAACTGTTAATATTGTAAAAACAATCCACTTGTAACTGATTCTTGTTTCAAATAATTTGGGGCACTATTTCATATAGCTGCCATATAACCGATCTGGCCGATTTGCCCCAACTTTTGTTTATCAAGCCATTGCTTTGAAATTTGGTTAGTATACATTTTTGAAGCTCCAAAGATGACCTACCAAGTTTCAAATGATTTAAAGCACTATTTCATATAGCTGCCATATATCCAATCTGGCCGACATACAAAAAAGCTCCATTAAACATTTTTATTTCTTATTTTCTTTATATTATATTAAATAAAAAAAAAACAATTATCCAAGATCACATTTTAGTATTCATCTCCATTATTAGTGCTTCAATCTGAAAGTAAAGATACATTTTACAAAATTTTAAATAAGTTTGGTTATGTTACTTACTATAGAAGTTACTCAATTTTCTTTTTTGATTTTTTTCGAAAACGTGTGGATTCGGACAAAAATGGTTAGTTTCTCATTAATCTGCACACTTTGGTTAATAATTTCTCATTTACAACTTTTTGCAACACTTTGCCATGCAAAAGTATTGATCCACGAAACACAACTACACTTGTTAACAGTGCTGTCAACTTTTGACCAAAATTG